TCTCTCTCTCTCTCTCTCTCTCTCTCTCTCTCTCTCTCTCTCTCTCTCTCTCTCTCTCTCTCTCTCTCTCGTATTCAAAGTAATCTTGTTTATATAAATGATCTACATAAGGACCAGAACCTGTTTTGGTTTGAAAAAAAAAAAACCCTAAACATGTTGTATAGTTTTGTTGTTCAAGAAATGGCATGAGCTTACTTATAACTAACCAGTGGAGTAACATTATGCAATAATTTAGGAAGAATATCATATGTGACAGTACATAATGATCAGGTACTTCAAATTAAAACAAGCAAAAAGTCTCTTATGGTATGTGATATTCTGGTATCAAAATTCAACCAATTTTGTTATCATTGAGAACTTCATACTAATTTAAGTAAGCTGAAACAACTAATATATAGATATCCCTAGAGTCTAAGAAAACACTCCTTAGTTGTTAAGGCTGTCGGTGGAGTAAGGTTTCAACTATGTATATAACAAAACTCTAGTTATCATATATTTCATACTAAGGCCTCAGGTAAATATCCAATTAAAATCATGAGCAATCGTGACAAAAATAAAGCTATGAACTCTTAACCTGCAAGTGCCTTGAATTTCCTAAGCATTTACTCATGCTTCATGAAGTAATCTGGAGAACTAAGAGCCTAGCATGGGGACAGTGTGTCCAAGTGATCTTACATCAAGCCATCATAATGAATTATGGCTTTCAGTAATTGCCGTCAGAATATAAATTGCAAAAACCAATATCTCACTCAACTGAAGTATAAAATCCTCAAGGACGAAATCAGTTAAGTCACCACAGCAATGACACCCAGAGTCCATTTAATCATATTCTTCAAATCCACTAATTCGTGGTCAACAAATGGCCAAAAGCTCATCTAATCATAAATCAATGTACGAATTGAACTTGGGGAGTGGCAATACAAAAAGTGGAATCAATATCTTAATGTAAACGCGTTCTATTTCAGCAAAATCGTGGCTGAAGTCAAAGAGGAGAAAGGGAACATGGGGAGATCCAAAATCCCCGTTTTTAAACGGACAGGGGAGTAAAGAGAGGACCTTGGCGGCGTTAAAGATCTCCTCGGATTTCTGGAGCGTGTAGCTCTTCCCCTCGACGGAGATGGCGTTCCGCACGGCGATGGAAACGCGGCGACCCGCGCACGACGGCTTCGTGGACGTCAGCGGGACGAGAGACGGGGTCGATGACCTCCACGAGAGCCCAACGCCTGCGAGGCCCGCCATATCTCTCCCTCGCTCTCGCTCTCGCTCTTAGGGATGAAGAGATAAGAGGAGTCGATGTTGATTTGGTATTATTTGTCGGGGGAGAGTAGACGAACTGCTATATAAAGATGGCGATGATACACCGACGGTGGGCTTCGATGCATCTTCGTCCGTTCGATGAAGATCAGACGGAGAAGGTTTGATCCCATTAATTAAAAGGCTTGGAAATTTCCTTTAATTTTACGTATCTATCCCTCGTAAAATTTCGAAATAACGAATTTGCCCCTTAACTTTTATTACCATATAAATATCCTTAACATCTATTATTAGATCCGCTTATCTACTGCTAATTGCCTAATTCAAATCTTTCATAGATATCGACAAAATATAAGTCATCCACGATGTTTAAAATGACAGATTAGGAGAGCCTGTCTGTGTTCATGTACTTGAAGAGAAGTCAACGACATGTTCTGCTTATAAATGAAAACTCTAATCAAAAGCTTGGGAGGAGACTCTCAGAATCCTTCAGGCATACTGTTCTCAGAAACATAATTGTCCCATCCGGCCATGCACTTCAATACAGTCCCAATTATCCAAATTAGATCGAGCTGCTCTTACCCTGCACACTTGTAAGCCGTTCTGGTTCTATCACCAGTGACTCAGTTGCAGGAGACATACTCTTCAAGGCTCTGTGCCATGCACGCCGGAACTCGACAGTGATCTCGTAGAAACAGATTGGCTCAATCAACATGGAGTTGGAATTGTGCAGCGACACAGGTTGTCCACCTTCACCAAGGGATCATAGCCAGCCTTCTGCCCGGTACCGGTCTGCTGCACCTGAATGATCGAGAGACCAAGGATACTAGCTGCGACGACATGGAGAAGAAGCACAGCAAAGAGGAGGTCGAGGATAGGAGCCACTGTAGCTCTCTTTGTTTCAAGATGGTGACAGCCTTCCCTTCGAGTGTATAAATCGAACTCATCAAATTCCAATGTTTCCTATTGCGTCGATCCCTCTGAATTTTCATCAGAGGTGAGAGACGGTTGTTGTTCTTGTTCTTGCTGCTGCAACTGATAACTCCCGGCGCTGTTCCCGCTGCCCTGCGCTATATGCTGATAGAATTGACTCAGTGGCTGAGGCTTAAAAATCCCAACTTGCCCATGTTGCGAAACTGAGATCTCTAGTCCCGGCATCGGCTGCCGCTGCCCGCCCAGCAGTGGCACGAAGGTCATCGGGTTGATGCCACTAGTGGGCAATTCCAGCCCGCTAAACCCAAATCTCGGCATATTCGACACCAGAGGCACTGCCGCCGTTGCTGATTGTAAGAAACTAGCATTGGACCCGTCGACCGGCGTCATCCAAAATTCCGGGTGGGATCGCCCAAGATGACTGCCGGGCGTCGCCCAATTGGCTCTGCTCTGCCCTAATTCTTGGAGGTTGTAGTGGTGCAGGCCGACCGAGGCCGTGGCGGAAGCAGTCGGGGTAGAGCTGGCGCCGGCAGAGGACGACGTGAGGACCAAGGCCGGGATGGATCCGGAGCCCGTGGCGGCGATGATGGAGGGCTCCGCCTGTTGGAGAAGCCACTGGATGGTCTCGCCGTCGGTCTTGTGCCCGAGCTCGCGGGTGAGCTGGAAGATGCGCGCAGCGCATAGGGCGGGCATACGGACCCGGCGACCGCGGCCCTCAACCTTGGTGTGGCGGTCCTTGTTGGAGCTCCGCTTCGGCGCAAGGTGCCGCCTTTGCTCCCCCTTCTCTACTGTGGCTTGCAGTTGGGCATCCACGTTAGGTTGGGAGGCCATCACCACCTGCCGGTCTATGCTCTCTTGGACAGCCGAGCCCACCACCAGTACCTGGGGCAGCTTCGGGGAAACCTGGGGATTCAATGATGGAAAGAAGGTTGGTAAGTACAAGAAAAGAAGAGAAAGTGATGAAAAGTTGGGAATTTGGGCTGTCAGAGACGGAGATGAAGGGGAAAATTTTCTCCTTTCTGCTTAAAAATTGAATTTTGCGGCGAGAGAGATGGAGCTGAAGACGAGCAGAAACCTTATGGTGCAAAGATTGCAGAGATGCTAATGTTTTGTGGGCTTTAAACGGCCTTGGCGAGGGAATGTCACTGGATTCGCCGCGGGCGGGGGGTGGGGTGGGGGGGAAGGGAAAGAGAGAACGGAGAAGGAGATGAAAACAGGAGAAGAACCAGATGCTCATGTATTAATGTCGTCGTCCTTTTTGGCTCTCACTAGGTGGGTCATTCTTTGCCTGATCCATCCACTGTTTGACCTGATTGGGTAGCCTATCCTGACCTGTTCAGAAGAAGACAATGTCGTGGATTAAATTCCATTCAGATCATTTCTTTGGATTGGTTCCTCTCCGCCTATGCTGTCACTATTACAGGCTGGAATACATGAATGCACATCTCTTTCTTTGTTTACCATGCAGCCTGTGTGCATCTTCAATATTGGAAGGCCGCCATCAGAGTATATTTTAAGACATTTTAATAGTTAGTGATCCTTGAGAACAGGGGAGAAGGGGTGAGTGGGACTGTCTGACCTTATCAATGGGGATATTATGGAGTCTGGGAACACTTGAGCTCCTTCCTTCCAGGTGGAGCTTTCAGCTGAATCTAGAATATGCAGTAGATCCCAATCTTATAGGCCCTCTGCAATCAAAATTCCACTGGATAAACACTATAAATAAATTGCAAAACATAATATTCTGAATGACATCAATACCCAGCTACAATCACCCATGAAAACTGTCAGGGATGATCTATGGTCAACCTTGCCTAACATCAATACATGTATACTCACTGTCATGGGAACCTGTTATGAAGGGTGATATCATCTCTCACAAATCTGATGTGTGGGGACTCGATACACTTATACACCACCATATGGCCTCCTGAAGGACTACATCAACCCCTCATGGTTCTCAGAAGCAATACAATTCACCTGGATATCATTTGAAAGAAAAGCATTGAGAGTAAAGGGAGAATGGTCAGCAGACATATTTAAAAGAAGGAATGAATGGAGAATGGTCAGCAGACACACTTAAAGATAGGATTACATGAATCTACTTGGGAGGCTTCATGACCTCAGCTTGCAACTCTAATTTAAGTAGATGATAAGACTTTGAGGAGATCATAACCTTTTTTTTTTTTTCGGGCACACCATTGACTTTTGATTGTCATTTTCTTTGATTTTGCAAAAGAGATGGACAAATAAGGTTGCCTGATCTTTGTCTTTCAACTGTTTGGTTGGTTGTTGGATTTCTGACATGATTGTCTGGTGAATCACCTAATTATAAATGGATTGGAACAAACAAATATGATACATGTTTGTCTTCTTGAAATGCCTCCTTTCCCAAAAATTATTCCTCTTGCTTGCATTTGCTTTCAAGCCTTGGAAATACTTTTAGTTGCTATTATTTCATTAGCTGCCTAGTGAAAAGCCTGATTTCTAAGACATCCTGATGTGCCAGTGCAGCTGTAGAGGCCTTTCTAATAAACCATTGTGAACTTCTTCATCACAGTTCATATTTGCTCCAACATTTGTCATGAAACATAAATTGCTGTGAATGTAGAATCAAGAAGATAAAGGAAAAGACAGCATAGAATGAATTTAAAAACTGATGATTCAGACTCACCTCACTTGACAAGGGAAATCATTGATTACGCTTCCCGGGCTTCTCCTTTGTCTTTGTGGGAGAAGATTTAGAGCTTGGATGAACATGGATGTCTTCGTGGGTGTCATCCGAATTAAAGGGAAAAGGTACTCGATACATGATTCTTTATCTTTGCTCCACCATTTGTCATGAAAACCTTGCAATACAAATGAGCTGTTGTAAGTATAGAATCAAGACAAGGAAAGAACAGTAAAGAAAGGATCACAACACTCATGATTCGGACCCACCTCAGCCAAGGGAAGGATATATGACACCATGGATGATAGGCTTCCGGGGCTCGAGTGTGTAGAATGTTGCAACCATCGCAACTTCTCCTAGTATTGCTTGATGCCTGTTGCTTGGATTGAAGGAAGAACAGAAATTTAGCCTCAGATGCATCAAGCGTTCTCTTATTCAGAGCCTTGGCAGGCGGAGCACCTGGCACACTGCTGCAGCACCACCACAGATTCCAACCCACCACATCCTGCACAAAGAATGGCATCATACAAGTTGCATTGAACCACCACAGTGTCTCGGTGCTGTGCCGCGGCTTGTCCTCAACGCAGTCATCTTTGCGCAGTCCTCCACCCTTTCCACAGGGCATTGCCAAGTAGAATCTGTTGACCAGAGTATCATTGTCACAAGCAGTAACCAAATTCAACAGTCACAATCGGTATAAACTTTGTCAGATCATATGCATATGGATCAACAACTATGATGATCTATGTTGCGCACTTCAAATAGTCGGGACTTGTTGAACACCTTGGAGCTGATAGAAGTCCACCATGAAATCTGTTGCCAGTACTGTGCTGTACAAAGAAGAAACCCAACTATATGTCATGCTGATTACCAAAATTAAGATTCCTACAAGCCTATATGGCAGTGCATTTATGCAGCAAAATTAAAGAGGAACAACACAGTGCCCAAATGTTATTGCTTATCTGTGGTTCTCTTGAATTAATTTATTGGTGTGTCTCCTGCTAAAGTGGCAGCAAAAACATTACTCTGATGCACTGAGGTCACTACAACTGACATTGTATTTGGCTGCAAGATAATGGGCTCTTATTGGTGCATTGTTCCTGTAAAGGTAGAGCCCTGAGGCTATATTCTCCTCAAAATTCCTGAGCAGTGGAATGAACAGCTCTCAAGCAGCATCCAGTTCACCAGAAAAATGAACAGCCTTCATTCTACCTCCATGGCATCAAGAAGCAGCCACTCATGCACATCTGGTATCTCCTTGGAGTATCTAAACAGCCAGCATTTTATGAAAAATCAAAATAGCATTAGCCTTCTCATGAGGATCATGATAATTAATGCCCTGCCTATAAATTGCTTTCAAAGAGCTCAATATATACTAATCTTAGAATGAAACTTCCTAGGCATTTTGACTCATATCCCAAGAAAAAAAATGCTCAAAAGAATAATATTATACTGCTGTGGTTAGTGATCAGAATTTAGGCATTTTAGGAATCAGCACTCTCTTTCATCGGAAAAACAAGGATAGCTTGTACCTTGATGCATAAAGAAGATATAAATGAGACTTTGGTCTAATCTCATTCCCAATCAAGGAATCTTGTTATTGACCTTCATGTGAATGAGCTTGTTGTGAGGCTGCACCCTGATGACAGGCTCATTAGTTGCTCAATCAAGATCAGTTCCAATTTTATTATTATTTCTCTAACCATTCAACATTGTTTTCACATAAAAAATACAAAAAGCTTAATCGAGATATTTTGGATGATCCAAACAAATTAACATTTGCTGAATGTCATCATATGTACCTTCATCAGAGTCAAACTTCTAAAATTGAGGATATCCTCATCTTATAGATACAAGAACTAGCCCGTCTTCTTTCAGCTTCTTGTCAGGCTTCGCAAGATATTGACCTGCATGATAGAAGCATCTTTTCAGAAACTGCTCCATCTTCTCACCAGAATTCTCCCTGGAAAAAGTAGCAGATCACTAGAGTCATGAGGGCAAAAGGGACATCAACAATCAATGAGCTGATAAAAATGAAAACATTACATTCTAAGACAAAATCAAGTATAAGAAGATTTAGGATAACAAAAAAGAAGACACAAATCACCTTTTGTCAATTCTGCACGAAAGTGTCTTGCTAATAATCTTCGTTCGTGCATAACCAAGTTCAGTTGAATGCTGCGGAATAACATATACACACATCACATTTCCGAGAGACCAAAACATAAAGAATTCAAGTGCGATTCTAATTACATAAACCAGACGTCTGGAAGGCAGTCTTCATAATAAAGTGCGAAAAGGGCAGGAAGTTTTGTCTTCTTGGCAAAGTCGCCACAAGCTCCGAACACAGTGATGAACAGTAGATTCCCGTTCACTTGCGTCTAAAATAACCACTTTATTATATTCTTCCGAAGACAAACCAAGCAAGCCACCATTTTCCAGAATCTTTAAAGGAGCTTCTTTGCAGTGGATATAGGTACAGTGACAGCTGCAATGCAATCACCAAAAGTTGGCAATCTCAAGATTAACAGCAGGAAGGAAGGAAGAGAACTTTCCATCGCAAACACAAGCAAAATGAATCGAGGAGAGAAAAATCCATCGCAGAAGGATGGGATTCCTGTTGAAGCACTCGAAGATCACGAAGCATCGAGATAAAAAAAACACAAATAGTTCGGAAACGGGATTAAAAATTCCAAATGTACTTCGGTCACGAACAAAAAAAGTTTCAGAGAAAATCGTGAACAGGAGAAAACCCCCGAGATAAGCCAGAGTTGACAACCCGAGAGGCTAACCAGCCATCTCAAACGAACTCAAGTAAGACGGATCCAACAGGGCAACTCCAAATCAGAAGAAACAGACCTTCTTGCTTCAGACAAGGCTCAAGTTCCAATTTTTCGGAGAGTGGCCGATTCTTCGCGCAAGAACGCTTCTTGGAAATGATCGGAGGAGGGTCGACGACTCGGAGAATGGCCTGGGCGGCGGAGGAAGAGGAGGAGGTGAATTTGGTGGCATAGATGGCTCTCTCTCCTCCACAACTCCAAGAGAGAGAGAGAGAGAGAGAGAGAGAGAGAGGTGGCGAGTGCGTCGAAAAGCGACGTTAGGCGTTCTCAGAGGCTTGATCCGCTCCATTTCTTTGTTACTATATCACTTCTTACAATTTTCATCAGACCGCCAGTTCTTAAAGTTCGTGGATGGACCCCACAAGTGAGTTAAGTCGATGAACGGTCTTGATTTGGGGTCTATCGCCGAATTTAAAAGCATAATTGGATGGTATCCCACACCTTGAACAGATTCTCCACTAAGCCCGTCCGAATCCAACTAATGACTCCATTAACACCTTAACATTACCCCTTCTTGCATCATTAAAAGATAGTAGTTTGGCAACAAGAAGAACTCCCATCATTTTGAAGAGAATCTGCTTTCAAACCCTTGAAATAAATGAATTATTCTTGGAAGATACTGTGTGATGATGACATGCCAATCATTTGTCGTACATTTTATGGATAGTTTTATTATTAATGACCCGATGATTAATTGAGATCAGCAGTCGGCAAGAACAATGAAAGAGCTAAGCAGCTCATCTTCTTTGCCAAGAAGATCTCCTTCTTTTTTATGTACAGGAATTCTGATGATGAGATGTAATCATTTGTCGTCTCCCTTTGTTCTCTTTCTGCAACCATTCATCATCGTTATCAGATGAGCATTCTGGCTTCCAGCTTCCTCTGCATGTTGACCTTGGCAATGAAGTCCTCCACTCTCCTGTTCAGCTCCTCTGCAGGCAATTCCTCGTACTCCTCTTCCAGCAACTCCTCACGCTCTGTCACCAATTCCTCCTCTCCTGCATCACCTTTCACCTCTTCCTCTTCTTCCTCGACGGCTTCCTCATCCTTCTCTTTGGTCTCTTCGAACGAAGGCTCCACCATCACAGCTTCCTTCTCCTTGACCTCGACACTAGCCATCCTCTGCAGGCTTTGGCTTCGGCTTACGTAGTCCTCGTAGATGCCGGGGTGTTGTGCAGGAGACTTCGAGAGTCTCGACTCGCCGACGAGGAAGATGATGATGATGTTGGAGACCACGAATACGAACTTTGGCCCGGAGACAGTGGCGCCAATGTTGGGAAGACAAACTAAGAAGAAGAACTTTACAAAGGAGCAGATGCTGGGGAGCCAATTGGGGCATGACAGAAACAGACCGACCAGAACAACACGTAGAATGTATTGAAGGAACACCAAAAAGAAGTGATTCCTCCTGTAACTCCTCATCGCTTGAAGCTTCTCCATTTTAAGTGGGTCCATAGTTCTAAGGTGTTTGATTAGGAAGAAGGAAGGAGAAGAACAAGAGGTCTGGGACTGCTTTGAGATGAAGGCTTGGGAGAGAAGACTCACAGGAAAAGAGAGAAGCATAGGAGGATGCCGATCCGACTGAACGTAGAGCAGTGCAAGAACATGTATATATAGGGAGAGGAAAGGGAGGTCTTTATTGGTGGAATTCTCACAATCTTTAGCTTTCCCACTCATATTATTTGGTTGCCTTTAGTATGTGGAGGTTCTTTAAAAAAAGCCAAGGGATTGGTGTCACTTTCCACTCTTGCTGTTTGATGGTTTTGATCTGTTCTGAGTTCTAGTAATTTGTCATGGTGATTACAGAGCTAGGAATCTGATATGTGATAACCCATTAATGTGATCCAACACATTAAAATACCTTGATAGACTTTCCAAAATACAAAGAACATATTCTGTGTGTGTGAGCATTGCTTCTTAAATATGGCATCTCATGTTGCTTTTGAGTTCTTCATTTTAACTTGATAAGGTTGCTGATTTCATGGCTTGTGGTGCATGTGTTCTGTGAAGACATCATATTAACTGGTGACTAACTATTTCTGTTGGTGCTGTCATGAAGTAGGTGCATGTTGAGATGACATTCCAAGCTAAGAAATGAATCTCCACAAAGAATATATGTGATGAAAAGCATGATGGAGACAACCAAAGGGTGATTTATGAAGTGAAACTTCAAATTTTATACAGACCTAAAAGGTGGTGATTACAGCCTCCTCTTACCAACACCCATCATACTCTGTGGTTTACCAGCCAACCTTCCAAAGAAGAAAAAGATCTCACCTTTTGAATGCACAAGCAACCTTCCTTTCATTGGAGCAAAAGATGAGGGAGTAGGGTTTTCTGATAAGGACTTTGGTTTGAGGTGTTTACTACCTTTACATCTCTGAAGCTAGAGCTGCCACCTGTGTGGATCAAGAGAAAGAACTCTTGTGGGAGATGAACACAAAAGGGAACAACAACAATAATCCTATGGCATTACAAATAATGTGTTGATTGATTTAATATTCTTTTCTTTCTGGTGCTGCCTCATTCTCTCTCATAATTGTTTGATCTCAACATAGTTTATTTGAGAGTTTGTTCATTCTTATCTGGTTTGCTCCCTTTCATGTACCATAGTTTGCATTTACACCATATAATATGACAATTAGCCTTTCGAATTATTCTAATCTAGATTGAAATTAAATGGATTTTGAGACTTTAAATTTCTTTGTCAAGAGAATAACCCAAGTTACACTTTGCATTGATTCCCTGAGTGGCTAAAGTCTCTAAACCTTAGGGACTAAGGAAACATGGGGAAAAATGGGGTCCAAAGCAAACAACATGTTTGATTCCTCCTCACCTTCACAAGAGTCCAAGACAAGTGGAATCAGGCTTGAAGTTAGTAGCATGGTCAACATCAGCCAACCCTCAAAAGAGGGTCACAGACAAAATTTTCTTGCCTTTCTACCTGAGTCTAATGGCTGTAACTTTGTACACATGCAATGTTTTGCTGCACAACACTAATTTCTTATTCTTCTCATAAAGTTGCTGCTAGAACATGAGGGATCATGAAGTTAATTGCAGTGTTGAATGTTTTGTGTCCAAGCTTATTATTGGAATAATTTAGTTTGGAAAGCAGTTTAGGTAGGATGGTGTGATCAGATGGTACTTTTGCTGTTTGTGTTTGTCTGTGTTCAGTTATTTTTATTTAATTTGATCTTGTTGTTTTCCTCAAAAGATTGCTGTTCTTATTCCTTATATTTCATCTTGTGTCTTTGGAATTAAGCTTGGTATAAAACAGAGTTGAATCATCACTTGAATGCACTTTGTTTTCCAAAGGAATAGACTTTTAGGAAGAAAATGATTTCACCAATCCTCTCAATTCTCCTTAATTGATGATTTAAAAGCTTATGTGACGGTTGAATTGCTGGGATAAAATGATGGCATTGCTCTTGAGCTCTGATATCTTTGGAGCTCCTTGAATTCATTATTTTTTAATAAAATTCTCTAAAAATAAATATGGCAAATTTGAAGCTTTGATAATTAAGAGTAAATTAAGACATGGAAGAAGCATGTTTCTTCAATTGAATTTTTTTGCTTAAAACAAATATCATACCAAGCTTATTATATATACCTCCTGGTTTATTCTCAGGTTTAGCTTGTTCCACAAATTAGTCTATCATTGAGCTTGATTTCCAACAAAACCTGGTGATATGTGTGTTCTGACCTTTGATGTTACCAAACACAAAAAAGATGTCAAATGAGCATTTCCCTGAAGGATATCAGCAACATCATACCCTGTTTATGAGTGCATTGCATCATAAGTTAAACCAAATCATGTTTTGTTGCCATAGAAGATTTAAGATGATCCAGGCAAACAGCCACTTCTTCTTGTTCCTGAAGCCATGCTCCCCAGTATCCAATCATTCTGATTGATGCAAAGAAATCTGTTTCCATGTGAGCAACTCCCTACTTCAGATTGTGGTTGGCTGTAGAGTTTCATTCCTTGAGAATCTCTTTAACAGTACATCCTTGATAAAACATCTCTTAGTTTCAATTGCATGAGGATTACACTTTGGTTTGCCAGTGTAAGGATGTATGCATGTCCCAAGCACTTCTAGACCATGTCTTTCTTCCTGGAACATTTTCATTTCATTTGGAGACCAACAATATCTGGAGAACATCATTCTTGAAAGAAAACTTTGGTACAACTCAATACATAAAACATTGTGTGACAAGGTTGACTATACACAGTATTTCCTATGGAGAAGGCAATCTACCACTGAACAGCAACAAAAGAGGAAATATTTGTTCTACAGCTGATAATTAGGTCCATAGACAAGCACCCAAAGGATCAATTAATGTTTGCCTTCTTCAGGGTAACAAATGGTGCAAATTTATTCTTGTCGTTATCCTTGTCCTTGGAGGCTCCACTTCTCTTGCTGCTCATGTTCTTGTCCTTGGGAGAGGAAGAACTGCAATCTGCAGCTTTGCCCTCCTCACACTTCCTTAATCGTTGCCTTACAAAGTTGTCATACACAAAGGCAGCACCCCTGAACTGTGGGAGCACCAACCAAGCCACCAATACCAACTTGATCTGATACCAGACAGGTACCCTAATCCAGACCAGAAACACAAGCAATGGTTCACTTGTCAGGATCCTCAGAGAAGAATCAGTAAGGCTATAAAAGCAAACTTACCAGTACAAGATGGACTCAGCGGCCATCTCCAAGAGAGTGAGGAAGGAGTACAGAATCCAGTAGACTAGCCATTGCTCATCGTCAAGCTTCGACGGGCTCTCGAGGGCCTGAATCGACGCGTACCTGATCGAATCAGCAGAATTCACTCAGCAGAAACATTGAGGATTAAAGACAAACAGGTGCTGGGCGGAGTGAAGTGACTCACAATGGGTAGACCAGTGTAATGGTTGGCCTGCATGCATGTGATACATCAACCAAGCAGACACGAACGCAGGTTAGAGGCAAAGAGAACACAGACAAAATTGAAGAAGAAGAAGAAGAAGAACAGAGATTTGGCAGCGTACCCAGCCAAGGAGTGGAGATGCGTGACAACAGTCCACAAATGACCCATGGGCTGATCTATGGAGAGGAGATGAAGCTTCTGTTATTGGGGAACGCAAGTGTTCGTTCTCAGAAGGTATGTATATATATATATATATACATGTATAGGAGAAGCGGGACAAATGGCGAGGTGTAAGAGGGGTGACGTTGACTGGCACGTGGCAGCTTGCGACGGCACCGACCAGATGGGTGAGGTAATATAAAGCGCACCGTCCAAGTCAACGCTCCTTGGATCCGCGGTCACCACGGAAAAGAAATGAATGAAAGAAACCAAACCCCGAAGAACGAACCCACCGGAGAGCAATAGGCTGGCTGACCGAACGGGGCCCACTCTTCTCATCACTCGTTTCGAGCTCTGATTGGTTGTCGTTGCGTGTGTAAGTCTTGTTTACGGCGTTGCCACGTTAAATGCGACAAGCCCATGAGTCGGAGGCACAGCTCAGCAGCTCGCGTCAGCAATTCACAATCGAAAGGGAAATAGAGGGACACGTGGCGAACTGATGTTAAAACTTGAGTTGATTCAAATCCAAAATTATAAAAATATTAAGACAATTATCAAATCATTATGGTAAGAAAAATTTTCTTCTACTTGAATTCTTTATCCTCCAAATCCAAAAAATAAAATATATGATGAATTATATTATGATATTGATTCTAATTTTTAAAAATAAAAAATAAAAATAAAAATCATCGATTCCGAAACCGAACCACTGTGTTATATCGAATGCAGACGCATCAAAACCGATACATTAGAACACCACAGAATGTACCAACTCTTTTCCAAGACACTACAAGATGATGATACTTCACAAAGAAGATCCACCGATCCATCCAGCCTCCGTTAATCTAATCTTGGGAACATGGAAACACCTCTGCTTCAATGGGCAAGCGGAAACAGAGTTGCCAAGACCAAAAGGACTCGACGGCGTCAATGGCGTCTGAGTTCAGATAATTACGTGCGATTACGTCCGTAAAGGTTGAGGTACACGATTCTAGTCCTGTAAACAATGATCATGCTGAGGATCACTGCAATGACGCAAAGTCCGGACATGATTAATGAACTGAAGAAGAAGCAGATTGCTCCTTTGCACTTCAATGGCTCCTCCGCATTCAGTGCAGTAAGTTGGAGCAATTTTCCAAGTTGCAGACCCTCCGAGCTTTGATGTTGGTGTGCTTGTTTTTCCGCTTCGTAGTCGTAGATTCCGCTGGCAACGAGACCTGAGAAGATTAATGATCCGGCAGGATTAGCCACGGTAAGAAAATTGTACAGGGCTCCGAAGTTCTTCAACCCGAACAGCTCGGATGCAGCAGCCGGAACGATAGCCCAGTGAGCTCCATATCCAAGTCCAATCAGCAAGGTTCCGATGTACATCGTTCCAGGCCAAGCCATGGCAAAGAACAGGTGCCCGATTGCCATTGCGACCTGAGAGAACGCCATGGCCACTGGCCTCGGATACGCATAGTCCCTGAGGAGAAACCACATTGTTGCTAGGAGGAGGAAGAAACCAAGAGATTGAGGCGGTGTGTCGGTCTCAGATAAGTTGGAGGAGTTCGTACCTGACAATGATCTCAGATACATAGCCTCCGCCTACCCGACCAAGGAAATTCCAAATGCTAATCATGGAGACGAAGATGTGAGTCTCATCGTAACCCAAAGACTCGCTCATCTGCCCAAGATTGTCGATGACAGTCAATCCGGAACCGGATCCCAAGAGAAGGGAGAAGAACATAAGCCAGAAGTCCGCCTTTATGAGTGCCTGCATCAAGGTGAAGTCCTCTCCCCTGTGCGGGCCTCTCCTCTTCTTGACCCGGACAGCTCCATCAGCGGCTGCTTGGAACAGCTTTGCTTGCAAACGAGCGATTCTCTTCTGCCTCTCCAACGCAGGAAGCAGGTCGACATCCTTGGGCTTTTCGTCCTCGAGCTCGCTGAAGACAACCTCGTTTTGTTGTCCTGATTTGCTTGTCTCCTCTTTCGAAGGTTCGGGCAAGAGAAGCTCTTGGACGGGAGAAGCGGCGGCATCCACACGGAATGCCAGCAGCAGAGGAATGGCGATAGGAACCAGCAAGAGAAGCATCAGCACCACCGTGAACAGGACGATCACGATGTGGTTGAGGTCAAGCAGATCTTCCAGAAGCATGACACCCATCAAGTAAGCAGCCAGGATCAAGCATACAATGTAGATGAACATAAAGCTAGACTGATCCGAAGGTCGCACTTGCCGGTGGCCTCCAACGGGCCTGACGATGAACGCCAGGGAGATGACCACCATGGATGGTCCGACGGCCACCATGAAAATGAGAGCAGCGTGATCAGGTGTGTGCATCATCGCAAAAATCTGCGTCAAGATCGCACCACTGAGCCCTGCAAACCCCTTCAGGATTCCCACTATCGGGCCTCTGCTCCTGGGGAAGTTCTGTACGCACGAAACCAGTGCAGCTGTGTTGAAGTAGGTCTCTCCGTTTGTCCCCACGAATATAAGAATGCACATCTGCGCAAAAGGATGAACACGACATAGAAGGTCACATATGGAATCTGTCTACTTCTCTGTTTCATGCAACGAGCAAACTGCGACTACATGATGAAAGAAATGATGGATGATGCTAAGAACAAATCATAGAAATGAAATGAAGTGTCAACTCACCGCCCACAGTGGCAAACGGGGCGCTCTCCCGGTGACGATGAGCCAAACCCAGCCATACCCGAAGAAGTTCTGCAGCACACCAATAAAAAGAGCCGCCCAGAGGGGCAGGATCTCGCAGAGGGTGCCGGCGAGGAAGCCGATGCTGTCACCGAGATCCTTGGCGACGCCGAGGCTGGCGATCTGCCGCTGGTTGTAGCCGAGGGAGCTCTTGATCACCGGCGAAAGGCTGCCGAAGAGGTACCCGATCCCAGCGACGGCTTGCACCCACATCCCGGCCACGAACACGAGCCATCTGTTGTTCAACAAGGATCCCAACCTTCCTTGAGGCTTGGCCATTGACTCCCGAACTCGAATCACGCGTTCTCCAGCAAAGATCCGATTTTTTTTTCTCCGTAGAAATCAGAGTAGCGAATAGAATCGATACAAAAAATCGAACCTTTTCTTCCTCCACCGGCTTTGGAAGTTCTCCCTTACCACATCATGCCCGAAAGAATCAACAACAGCGACAAAAGACGAACAGAGGATCGATCATTCCGAATGAAACTTTCCTCCCAAGAGCCCGCATTTTTTATCTTGGAACGCGCTTCGCAGTAGGATTCAAAGCTGCAGCGGTGATTGAAGCATGACCATACGAATAAACTCGGAGGAAAACAACCAAAATTTCTGGGGAGGAAGAACGAGTATTCCGGCGGATCGAGGGGGGGATGGAACCCAAGGGTCTTATTCGAAGCAGCTCGGGTAAAAGCGCCCACATTTGGTTGTAATGTCGCAATTGCCCCTGCCTCTGTTCATAGTCACATCAGCCATGTACTTGGAACATGGATTGTCGGTGCACACGGGGGCGTTTCTGATTTGATCGCCAGCCGACGAATGGGCTTCCCTGTGCGGGTTGAGACGAGGAACACGTAGATTCGATGATCGGCCCCACTTCGTCGGCCAATCCGACCTCGTCATCTACATCGCACCACCAAGTCAAATAATATACTGACTTATATTCGACTCGATGGAATAATAATATCACAAGCAAAGCAAAGCAAAGTCTCAGGCGACGACTGCGCCGCTACCCACGTTAGGCGTGCGACTAGTGTCTGTCAATATCACCATAAACAACACTCTGTTTTATGAAGATTTTTTATGATCATATTTGGCTGTCATGCCATCGCCGATTCTTTTTTGGTTTCTGTTGCTGCTAGTTGATGAAGATCATGAAAGAAATAAATCACAAATAATAACGATGATAGCAGGAGGCACAGATGTGATCGACAGAGATGGAAGCATAGTGATCAGAGGAACATGTTGTGGACAGCTCATGAAACCTGTTTATTTGGCCTTGGAAGGTCACCAGTTTTCCTTGTGCCTCGTTGGAACAACCCGAAATGGGATCTTGCTTTCGGCTACTTTGATCAGATCGAGTCGCACTGAATCTATTTTAAAGGCACCACATGAAACATGATAATAAAGAAAGATTTGCTCGTTGACTCCAAATAACCAATAGACTGTCTCTTGATCATTGTGGACCATTCAACATGCAGGTATCATCATAGACACCAAGAAAGAAGGCCAAAGGTGCACAAATGGGGGGACATCTCCAAAGCAAAGCAAAGAGCCAACTGTACTGTCTTTGTCGGATGCACAATAAGTTCACCAACCACTATATCAACCATGTTTAATGGATCAGAGGAAAATGAGATGATTATAACCATAGACAAGCAGAGGGAACACCTTAAAGTGTAGCACAGGAACACTCACTGAAAATAATGCCTTTTTCTTCTAAGAACAAGAATTAACACATTAATTCTTAGCTAGTCCTCTCAGTTCATGTCATTGAGACAATTCGAGCCTCCAAATGGTTTGAGACTGGAAGAAGGTTTCCATCAATAGAGTATTCAACGAACAAAGAGAATGTTGAGATAATGAGGATGTTGATATTTGTAACCAGGTGATAATGAGGATGTTGAGATACACGAAGATACTGTAGTGGTGGAGCAGAAGGCAGCATGGTGTGGATTCCTGCATCGGTCTTGCTGACAACGTGGACAGGCGGAAACCTGCACAAGGAGCACAAAGAGATGCAAGTTCACAGTCCTATCTATCTGAAGTTAATACACTTGTTTTGTCAGTCGCTTCACATTGTCAATAGCACCAACAAAGGAATTGAAGAAAGAGGAAAAGAACTAGAGGAGCTCTCGCTGTAAATATGGAGCTTCATCTACCATCAGTACATGCATGAAATGCAACTTACTGCGCCTTCACACACTTCACAGACACTTGAAGAAAAGGTGTCATACAGGTGAGGACGCACAATTGCTTTACTGAACGGTTGGGGGCAAAGAGAAGGCAGATACTACTAACACACAAGGCAAGGACAGCTTTCTGGTGGAAGATTCAGCAGGTATAATTTCCATGCATAGCTCTGAGCGTTTATCAGCTTTCTGAACTCAGCACCAGAAATTTTCTCTTGCTACCTTGATCCACACACAACTCCACAATGTCTCTCAGCTTCTCCATCAGTTCTTCCAGACTATCCACCCCATAGCTCCTGTAGTCGAGGTCTTTCTTGTATCGCTGTTTGTACAGAGCCTCAAATGTGCCAAGGGGAACCGGACAGGAATAACAAACAAGAAGCTCTTGTACTTCGTGTCTTACATTTTCAAATTGGTCCTCGAATTCATCTGCTGCACCTAGAGCAGGATCGTCATTTTTCCCATCATCAGAAAGCTCATCAGAGGAGCAACCTGAATGAGGAGAAATGCTGATATCCATGTTTTCCTCCAAAACTTGCTTTCCCTTCTTATCCTTCCTCACCAAGGCTGATGTTCCAGGGTACTTTTTCGCATCAAAATAAGCAGCATTGCGAAGGCATAGCAGCTTTTTGTGCCCTTTGCCAACCACAACCAATGCATCAGCCATTTTCCTGATAAGGTTGACCAGCTTACAGACTCCATACTCGGCCACGTAAAGTGGTCGTCCAAAGAACTTTAGATACTCTGAAGGAACCCGTACAAGAGGCATACTTCCACCAGACATCTCAAGCAGCCTCACTATTTGGCCCTTCAAACCCTGAAGATCTCCTGGCCGAACCCACCATGCTTGTTCTTGTGTGACATTCTGATCCATCCCTGCACCTTCACTTAAGCCAGATGGGAGACTCTGAGATCTTGATGAAGTAAAATAAGGCCCATTTACTGAGTTACTGCCGCTGTACTCAGTCATGGAATATGAAATTCTGTCAAGTCCTCTGCGCATTGAGTTAGAATTGTAGCAATAGCCTCGATCATTGTTTTCTCCACCATATTCATTTTGAGAAACTCCTTTGTAAACAATGGCCTCCTCCTCATTCTGAAAATCTAGGTTCGCTCCTATATTGCAATTTGAGAGACATCCAGCATGATCAGGTATGCGGGGCATATAAGCCTTTGCAGGAACAAAACCTTCACCACGGGCTACACTAGGCCAGTCCCAAACAAATCGGCCAGCATTGCTGAGAGCTGAAGACACACCAACTCCAGCAGGGATTACAAGGATCACAGTGTACCCACGTTGGCCAAGTATATGCAAAGCAGGAGCAAAATCTACATCCCCTGAAATCAGCATGATAGATGATGGTGGTTGATTGTCTAGTGCAAACAGAAACATATCAACCAAGATAGCCTTGTCAGCAGCATCTTTTCTACCATTTGGGACATCTACCAGTTTAACCCCAGTTCTTTGGCAGCCCTCTCTCAGCCTTCGGGGAAAGGCATTGAAATCTCCATAAGCGGAGAACATTGTCACAGCTCCTTTAATGACAGGGTGAACTCGTAATGCCATTCGGATGTTGCCAGCAACATCTTCTGGGCGAACATCACTTGGGACTGGGCAATTTTCTATGTCCCAAAGGATTGCCACAGGTCCATGCAAGGTCCCACTTTGCTGGTTTTGTGTTTGAACTGGTTCAGTCTCTGAACTTGTGCAGATGGAGTTTGAGATATTTGGAGTAATGATTTTTGGTGAAGGGCTTCGACTGGCCATTGCTTTATCTTCGTAAGCCATATTCCTGTTTATGGATGATGATAACAAGTGAGAAAAAGGTAATTTCCAACAGAACACAGTCATCCAGGAAGAATAAAGGAGCTGCACAACTTACATAGAGCATGAAGGAAAATTAACTAGAACATCCAGAACTAGTTATAGAAGTCCTCAAGATAGAGATGATGCAATCATACTCAGATGCTTGTCCAAAAATTAGAAATGATGTCTTACTATCAGATTTTCAATAATGCCACGTCTAAGCTTCTTGGTTGATTTGTCAATCAGAACAGAACACTTAAATTAAATATATTTCTGCCAAAAATGGTTATGTTATAGAATAATATATAGCTGGCTCCTTGTTATACCTATTATTAGGTAACAAAAACTCATCTTTTGATGCACATCCAATTTACATGTCAAGTTTTAACTTCACCATATCAAAGAGCAAATGTGCTGAGAGCTCCAAGCTGATTTGTATCACTTGTACTAGTCATGAACCATTCCCATAATGTACATTATGGCAGCATTTAATAACACTAGGGAATATTTGACTCTTCTAAGATACCATAGTAGCTTAATCACATGTCATGATAACAAATTGATCCTTGCAATAACAAAATATGATATTCCCAAAATAACAAATTATGATACTTGCTGAATATTTACTTGCTCTACAGTAAAATGATGATAAAGCTGGATTTGGCATTTTACAGTCTTTACATGCTTATAATAAATCTCATCTCTGGTTTGTAGTTTATACGGTACTTCCATTAGGGAGTGGAGAAACAAATTTTTGTGGTTGCAAGATAATAAAACCAGGGGCATGAAGTGACATGATCAAAAGCCGGTCTTGCTAGACTATCAAATTTTAGCATTTTAAGCATCAACTGTTGTTTAACTAAAGAATTTTATTTTATTAGGATTGTGTAACTAGAATATTTTATCACATGCCTTCCCCGCATAGCTTAGCAGGGGTTTTGAGCCTTTCTTTTTATCAGCACATATGATCTTAACTCAAACCAAATTTTCCAGATTGTCAAATAGACAATCTTCAATCATTCCCTATCAGTACTACACGGCATATGAATACTCTAGCACCACTAAGAAGAGTGACTGTTATCTCATCAGATATGTGAAATACTAATATCGCCGACCCGCTCAATATAGACTAGCATCAACAGATAACGAGCACAAGTCCAGATCTCCATGCCCGAAACAGTGTTTTGTACAAAGATGGGAAGAAAAATCTTACCTTTAAACCCTCGTGGAAATTGATTCCTCCGAAAGGATAGAAACCCTAACGAACCACCGAGCCTAAACAGCGAACGCTTTCGAAATCAAGAACCCTAAACAGCAACCTCCCTCCGACCGATCATAGATCGTTCATCATACAGGACAAGGCAATTCCCCCGAACTCGCAGCAAAGAAAAGATGACCCTTCTGGAACAAAAAGGTGAAACGGGGATCAAAAACATCAGATCATTCCGAAGGAATAATAGGATTTTCATCCAAATTACAGCGGCTTGAAGCTTACCGACGATCTGATTCAATCGAAGATCGGGTGACAAGGCGACGATTTCGACGGAGATCGCAGCAGAAAAGAGCTGCCTCCGAACCGACTTCGATACTTTGGACTTGGGGGAAGCAGGCAAGACAAAAGCGAGAAGACTCGTCTCTCTCATCCTTACATAGCGGATACCATGTGAGTCCACTACACGAACAAATCCCACCAATCGAGCGCCGCACCCAGACCATCATACCGAGCACAGATCTTAACGCAGATCGAAACCGTCCGATCGAAGGAACCAAGAAAATGGTTATTGCATTAAAGAAAAGAAAGGCGGTGATATCAAAATAAGGAAATATAATTAAATTAAGATAGTTAATCAAATTCAGAAATAACAAATGATTCTTTGGCAAAGAACAATAAAATCTCATTATGTTTTTTTTGTTTTTCTGAAATTAAATTTTCTTCAAATTAAGCTGACCATTACAGTAATTAAAAGATAAAAAAAACATATAATACCTTTTGTAACTCATTAAAATGTTTATTTATTCCTAACCTTTTCCACCACCAAAATAAAATATAGCAAACCTTCATGAAATTATTCTTTCTTGTCTAATTCTTTCATTTATTGGCATTATTTTGCTTGCAGATCCGAAGGAGTCAACTATTCGAGATGATCATGAGGTCGGATTGACATGAAGATGGCAGCGTACAGCCGAAGGCGTTGCTCGTTGTCACCGAGCTCGGCTGGCTGATCCCTCGTCGCTCTTGTCTTGGTCTTGTAGCGCCGCCAAGCGAGCTGTATGTTCACGGCCGCCCATGTTCTCCAGTTGGTCGAGTAGTATCTCGCTGTTCTCTTGAGGCGATCGTTTGCGAACTTGTATCTGAAGTGCTCGGTGATGTATCGCAGGTCGTTGGCGTCTAATCCGAAGGCCTCGGTGTGGTCGACGCACGCAAAGGTGGCGGAGGAAGCAGGCAGGCGATCGGTGAAGGGACGGCGAAGGCACCAGGAGAGGAGTTCATCGCCGAGGAAGTTTCCAGGGCCCAGCATGCACGTCGCCACCACCCCTTTGCTGAGCCGTTGGCTGCTCTGCAGGCGCCCGCGGACGACGAAGACCATGCACTGCACGGGGTCTCCTTCTCGGATCACCTGGCTCCGACGTTGGGATCAAGGTAAGCGAAACTGCGATGAAGAACACCAGGTTGGGATCCCTTTGCAAGCGTACCTTTTCGTCCTTGGAGAACACCATGTGCTTAACTCTGTCACATATGTTGTCGAGGATGAGATCGTCCAAGTTTTGGAACAAAGGCACCTGAAAGATAGATTCGTCACACATGGAATGACGCTGTTCGGATCCTCCAACATGTAGACCAAATGCCAGAGTTACCTGTTTGATGAGATCAAGGCAGAGATGGCGCCTGATGTCTCGCCGCAGCCCTTCCGGCAAGTCTTTAACCAGGTCCACCTCGTCCTCCCCTCTCATTGCAGCCCATCTCTGGCGTTCGTACTGCCTCACTCTCTGCCGCAATCGCGAGGGGAGCTGCCTCCGCTTCATCCACCATTCCATGTCTCGGCACCTCAGCTGCATCTTCCTCTTCCTAGCCATGACTGCATGCAAGAACACCTAAAATTAACTCACAGCTGTTAGAACACTGATCGCCGAGTATTATCCTATGCATGTGTCGATCCAAAGAACCCATATCGAACGCATTTCATGAACTATATGCAGTAGTTACCTGAATGTTTCCGATCAGCAAGGTGAAGAGCATGAGGCCACCTAACACAGTTGCAATACCAAACATCACCTCAAGCGATTGACTTGTGGGTTCGAGATTGTTGCCGAATGTGCTGTATCAAAAACAAGCATTGCATCAAAATTCTTTCAGCAGAATATGATTCATGATCTTTTGTTTTCTTTTCCCTTCCAAACGACTACCTGAGAGTCATGAGGCCCCAACATATAGGATAGAGAACCTTGACAGTGAGGGAGTTGCTGGAAATAACAGGGAGAGCCGCATCATAAATACCGTAAGCAAAGGGTCCATCGGCACTGAAGCATACACCATTCTGGTTTCTGATGGAGGTGACATTATTATAGCAGGACGCTCGATCCACCCCAGATGGCAATGGAAGCCGATCACAAGCTTCCTTGGAGCATGCCAGTGATGCAAAGCCACAGTTGTTCTTCTTCTGGCATTGCTGTTGGAGGCACGAGGAAACACGTTGGATTGCAAGAATGTACCAGCAACCCCCGGTAACCTGAGATTAGCAGCAAAGTGCACAACATCTACCCATTTTAGTAGCAGAATAATCTATGCCACATCTAGCAGTTCACTAGTATCGATCAAACATGACTGCACAAAAGGAAAAGGCAAAAGCGGTAGTATTTCTAGTTCATTGCTTACATGAGAGGCAATGAAATAAGCAATCAAATTGAGGGCGAAGCCCCACCAGATGGTTCCAAAGATGTAACCAGTGACCTGCTGCATGCTCCTCATCATGCATATGCTGTGGCAAACCTTGGGAATAAACTGGAATAAGAGTATCAGCAACAAAATGTTTGCTATCGACTCCATCTCTTCTTCTCTAATCAATCTCGGCAGAACCAACCAGAAGAACACCTGCACGGACATGGAAGATCACACAAAATACGAGGGCCAAACTTGTCCCCAGATTCCATGAGTAGAGTTTGTCCAGTCCTGATCTTTAGCATTGAACAGAAAAACTACATAGACATGAAAATATTCCATGTTTTGTATCATGTGTTATCGTCATTGTAGTCATCAAACCAACATATAGAACTTACGAAAAGATCATCCTAAGAGAATGCATTTCTACCACCTAAGTTGTGTCGACAGGTATCATTCGAGCCCGAGAAACGATGAGAGAGAGTCTTATAATTTACTTACTCTGGCGAGCGTGAGTTACATCCAAAGGAAAACGGAATCACGGCCGACGACAGCGAATCTACTCCGTACATGGCAGCGCTACATCGCTGACGGTGTCAGATCGAACGTGACTCCGCGTGCCGTACGTGCATACATCTGGGTGAGGGGATGATGTTCTTCCCCCAGCACTCAATCCGATACGTTTATTGGATATATATATATATATATATATATATATATGATTCTGCTTTCGATCGATGTTTCTCCAAGCATGCGTATTATTTATGGAGCATTATATGCAGATTGCAGTTGATAGCTATCACGATAATTACAGCAGAGGAAATGTTGGAAGAAGATTGAGGCATAGGAATTTAATGGATGCGATGATGTTCGAGTACCTGAGGGATGGGGAGGATGACGAAGAGGTCGAACCAGAAGGCGGTGGCGGAGCGGAGGTAGTGAGCGGCGATGGCCTTGGGGTCCCAGACTAGCTTGCCGCACCCCACCACCAGCGACTCCCGCGACACGTACGCCAGCCGCAGTTGCACCCACGCGTGAACTACCTGTGCCGCGTCCGCGCAGGTGCGCACAGCCGCCACCGCCGCCGCGTACCTGCCGTCCACCTCGACGCACCCCCGGTTCCCCCGCACCCCCACAGCGTACAGGAACAGCGGGTCCGCCGCCAGCGCCACCGCCCGCGCCAGCAGCAGCCCACGGTTCCACTGTTGCACGCCCCCGCTCCGCGGATCCAGCACCGGCCCGAACACCCAGGCGGGCCGCCGTCGCCGCCGCCGTCCTGCACCCTCGGTCGGTCTCCTGGCGGCCACGTGGTGCTGGATGGGTATCATCGACGACCCAGCGTTCGCCTCCCACTCGAGCGGGTGGGCACGGTCGCAGCTGGTGGAATGGAAGGCCGGGACGCCGGCCTGGGTGCAGGCGTAGCATTCCACCGCAGCCGAACCGGCGCCGCCCCCGCCACTGCCAGAGGCGTCATCGTCGTCGGTCCTCCAGCAGCGGACAATCTTATGCACCCACCTGGAAACAGAGATGAAGGCTGAGATAAAGATTGCTTGGATTTCTTTAAGAGTAGACGTTAAGATTACCGGGAACGCAACGTGTCATCGGCGGCGGAAACGGCGGGTAGGTTCATCAGCCCAGCGTGATCACGAAGGGAGATATCCGAGAAACTCATCGTCGCCTCTCTTCTCGGCCTTCTCCTTTTCCTCTGAGTCGTGGGTTCATAAAGTATAGATGCCACTGCTATGTGCGATAGGCGCTGAACTCAAGTGGCCATAGCAGGAGAACGAGAGCGGCGCTTCGGAGCCCCACTTACGACACGACGTAAGCTCCGACAGGAGGACGTGCTCGCCGACTCCTTCGGTATGACCGAAGTCGTGAGTTATGTCGGGACGCAAGTGGGATCAAGCTCATGTCCCATCGACCACGATCTTCACGTTCCACCGCCGCTTCCTTGTCATGCTGTTGATCTACGACCAGGGTTTGAATGTACGCAGACGACCACGGCCGGAGTACGCGAAGGAAGCTATTGCACGCAATAAAGGTGGAGATCGCAAAGTAGTTATGATGATGTCCGAGTATATGTACGTAACAAAGTAGGCGAAGGGTTCTTGTCAGAATCTTATTTCTCTTCCATCCTGAGTTCCTTCTGCCTCATTCTACTGTTGCGAAATCGGGAAATCTACGGCGTCATATGCAGCAATGGGTAAGATGCTTATTGAAGGCCGCAGTGGTCACAGTCTTAGCGACTATATATATAGAGAGAGAGAGAGAGAGAGAGAGACAGCATATATACCGTATGCTATACGTAATCTTCTTTCGTAATGGGCATGTAAAATCCTTGTCGGGTAATCTACAATGGATTGGATTTTGTTCCCTTGTTCGAAACTTTACGTAACCACTTGTTTGCATGGCTCGATCACTGTGGTGTCACAGAAGGAAGCAATAATCATTATATATAACTTGCACAGTCCTGTAAATGTATCATCAGGTTACAGTGATATGGGCATGCAGAAGTAGAACACCATCACCAGATTTGAGCATGTAAAATATTGAGTAATTTACAGACTATATTATTCCATCATCACCATTCTGAGATTAGGACAAACACTGATTCAGCCTTTTGCAGCAAATGCATATGGAAATGCAGAATACAACATCTTCCTTGATGTATCTTGCTGTTCTAGATGCCAAACACTGCTTACTTCAGAATCTAATCCTCGATGGTTTCAGGTTAAGCTCCAAAGATTTACAGGAACAGCGGATGAGAAGAGAGGAAATCAACCAAACAGAATTCCACAATCTGAAACTATGCATCCTTTGATAAGGTCAAACAATTATGTTTTACTTGCAGCCATTGCAATGGGTAAATGATGACAAACATGTCCTCCAACATCATAAATCAAGAATCATAGGATGATCTGCAGCCACATCAAAACTCCTCTACGGTGATAGAATCGCGAGGCATGTCATACGCATCCTTGGGTCTTAGTTTCTTCACACCAGCCATGAAGCAGACCTTGTCGGACTTGTAGCTTTCTAGGCTCACCTGGGTAACTTTGACCCAGACCAGGACTTTCGTCTTCATGCCCTCTATTCCGGACAACTTTCCTCTTGACAAGGTCGCCTTGACTCGAGTCGCATACCTTAACACAGAAGAATCTTTGAAGCTGATCTCACAGGTGGAAGGAAGGTGAACAATCAACTTTGACTTTGATTCGTCAAACTCGTAGCAGATGATGTTCCTGGGAAAGAGGCCTTGTGGTATCCCATATTCACGGAGGAGATCTGGTAGAGATTTCGATGGTTTGCCTGCATAAAAAGAAATAGAAAACTCTTTACCACCATTAAGTTGATGAAAGAGTTAAACTCATTAAACTCAGTTTGCTTGGATGGATATCAGGAACCTGTCTGTGAATGTAGTCTGATATGGAGCAATTAGGAAACAGAGCTATGACATCAAAAGCATGATTTGCAACAGCAAATTGTGCATATGTAATATGGCAGAAGTAGCAAATCTATTTTTTCCATTGGAATGCAGAGTTCAGCATGGCACATTCATATTATATTACCCTCGAGTAAATGTTTTATTGAAGGATCATCTACAATCAAAGACAAATTAGACATCACAAAATTTACAGGAACTCGACAAACAAACTTGCTCATGAACTATGAACAATATGATACCTTCTTAGGAGGTGGAAGAAAGTGCCAAGCAGCACAATTGAAATAATTTTGTGAATGCATGTTCATGATGTGAAGCAAAATCTACAATGACTGTATGATAACTAACTGAAGTTGGATGTGCATGATGATCAACTACATCGATTTGGTGGTTGATAAGATCAATTACATAGAACCATGACAAACATTGAGATGAAAATGAGCTCAGCCATCCTAGTAGTCATATAGTCATTCCATGGCATTGCTCTAATGTATGCACTACTGGGATACTGGAACTGTGGTGGTGATAGTGGTCATGCACAGAAAGTAAAGTATCTGCTTGATACAACAATCCAAAAGAATCCATTGCTATTAATAACGCAACAACCTGATTGTTGAGTAAAGCATATATGAGAAAATAGCTAGTGTAATCATCGAAGAAAAAGAAACTGTGAGAACATCGGGTCACTCCATCTCTAAAGCAAAAGAAAGTTGCCAAGAAGGGCCGTATGCTGATCGATAACAATACAGAAGAAACAAGATTTGTTTATAACCACAAATGTTGCAGGGTAACAATCTTTGGTCATCAATTCCAAGAAAAATCTAGATAAGCCACTTGTAGAAACTAAAATTCCTGGATTAGATGTTACCAACATGGAAATGAGTGTTTCATGTTGGAACACACAGAATTCCAATATGAATAACTCCCAAGCTCTAAATGCATAATACATGTGTGCACATAGGTATCAGATCTTAGCCAATGGATGATGTCATGCATTTAGTACATAGAAAGAAGTTTCTGTGGGATTGTTGTGAGTAGGTATAGCATAACTGAGAAGTTTATGAAGCTTTACCAATTTTAGAAGTTCATAAACACTTTTAAATTATTGAACTCGAAGCCAAACAAATTAGGAAAAGAAGTTAAATATGTAAGGTTCCATCAACCTTAAGCAAAGTTTAGATGAGGCCCGATCCTTCAGTTAATAAGCTCCCTGCAGTGGATATTGCTTTAAAGATTCTGTGCGATAAATTTTTCTTACTCCAAAGCAACTTAAAGAATTTCTTTAGACAATCAGTCTGGTTAAAAGCTTAAGAAATAAATGAACATATTTCAGAAGCCCACATAAAAGCTGAAGTATATTTATGAGGGATTTTGGTGGCAAGAAAAAAGGCTTATGTGGTTGGTCACAGAAGTCGACAGTAAGAAACTCATTTACTTCACATGCATACTAAATTGCATGGATAATTAGAACAGTTTAATTGCTATTGACAGATTTAAGCCATCAATAAGGCAGACATTAAAGGAGATAAAGAGAGAAAATTATGTCAGAGGTGAAGAACTGTGTTTCTTAGAAGTAACAAGCGCAATAAGGAAACTGGAATTTCCTCAACAAAAATATACGGAAACAAGAAGACAAATCAAGTTATGAGCAAAGGGAATTAACAATTGATGACAAAATTAATGGAATAGCAATTCACACCTTTCAGCTTTTCAAAGATCCACTTGGCCTTCTCCTCCACAGTGCTCGAAAAGCGCTGTCAGCCACCATAAGAAACTTATCAGCAGAAGATCATAAACATAGTAATGTAGGCGGGCATTCAATTTTTCCATTGCCTATACGAAGAAAAGAAAAGGCAAAATTTGATGGGAGTGCAAATCGAACAGCATTTTAGATCTAGATTGCTTCACACTCGTATGACAACATGCTCATACACGAGATGACCTAAAAGTTCCACCTTTCCATCAACCAGACACTACTAGATTTGATCCACCGCACAAAAATGGATCGGTGGGGCTTAATAATGACCTGGGTTTCATCACACTCCTCCCCTCCTAGCACATTACGTCAATAAATCTGAATCAAAATGTCATCTTTATCATATCTTACAGTCCTAAACGAGTCTTGAAAGATCGCAGGAAACCGAAGAGTAAAGAATGAATCTCGAAGAGAAAATCCAAGGGGATCTGCTTACAGAGAGATCTTCGCCGATGGAGGAGATCTCCTCTTTGGCTTTCTTGGGTATGGAAAAGCTCGCAACTTTCTTCAGCGCTTTGTCCATTTCCTCCCCCCTCTCTTTCAGAGGAAATACAGAGACCTTTCCCTCTTCTCCGAGCCGCTGCGCAGAAGAACAGAGACGGAGCCACTGGCAGGAGAGAGATAGGGACTATAAAGCGGCGCCTACCTCAAAAAAAGAAAAAGAAAAAGGGGGAAAAAGGAACAGGAATATTTCTTTCGAGCGGATTAGATGATGCATGCATTCGCTGCGCCAGAACAGCTGCCTCCAGCAAATGTATTGTCCTATACATGCAATGTCTTTTTCCTGGTCAGTGAAGGAAATGTTTCTGCCACAACTTTAAGCCCGTCGGGCATTGTTTCTTTCTTTTTTGTTTCTCGAAACAAAAATTGGAAATCTTAATGAGGAAAAACCTCGTAAAAAAATGCTTTAATTTTCTGTATCTCTATAACTATGGAGAAGCTAATGACTTGCTAAAGTTGTTACAAAAAATCACAATTATCATTATATAGAAATCAGTTTTCCACTTCTCATTTAAGATTTTATAGATTCGATGTATGATACTATAATCTTAGCATATAAGCTCACTGCTCTTAAAGAAACACACTTTGCTTTTTCACTTCGAAACAAGGACAACAAATCCAAAAAGTGAATTCATGTTCCATGTTTCTTTATTGTGTGTGTTTTTTCTCTTAGAGCACTTGATTCTGTTTTCTAAAATTTTTCTACTGAATCAACAAACAGAAAATAATGTATAACAAAAAACCTAAGAAGATCCAATGGTAACACTTGCAATTCAAACTGCTGTTGTAGTTAATGCACTGACAGCACACCTGACATTATTTTCCATGCATCATGAGCTTTAACATACAAGAAGTAATGCTAGACAAAAGGAAATAATTAGCAAAAAAGGACTCTTATTATTATCCCAACCAAGATAAAGCATTTCCACAAACCAAGTGTAACTCAGATAGGTGGGTGTTCATCTATGTCGGCCTTCAGCTATATTCATGTAATTTCCTCCAATTTAGATGCAGTGAAGTGGCATAAATTTCCTCTAATTTAGATGCAAATAAATGCAGAAAAAAGAGTAAACAATAAACTAATAAATGATGATGACAATAATGAGTTTGTACAACCACAACAAGTCATAATCATAATCATTTCGAGTCTAATATACACCACAAACTGTTTTACAAAGCAATATACCTACTTAAATATATATATATATAAAGTTTTCAGATTTGTCACAGTATAATGAGTTTGTAAGCATAATTCAGGAAGTGTCTAAAATGTCTAAAAATCTTGCAAATTCATGTTTTACATGGATGAAAATGCTGACATTAGGCATAAAAAAAGGTTTTTTCTTCTTCTATACATCATGATAGCATGCCTTTTCGTGTGTTAATTCTTGCTTGGGAGGAGGAAGAAGAAGAATGGAAACAAAAGAAATAGGTGGCGGTGCTGCAATGAGGAGGCATTAATGCAACGCAGAAGAGGGGTTGGCAGCCCGTCTCTTTCTCCACAAGTGGAAGCACAGATGCTCCATGAATGAGATGTCTTACCTAACCATAATCATAAGAAAGCAGAAACCCTAGGCCTGATTCCCAACGGAGGAGGAGGTTGAGGAGGACTGGAATCTCTCACTAACCTTTCTCGCTTGCGAGCGCCTGTGCCAACCACTACCACATGTCCGACATGTGGAGCTTTCTGAATCCGGTGAGAGGCTGCCAAGTCGCACCAGCGCGAGCACCGACATGCCCAGCTCCATGGTGGCGAGCTCGAGCTTCTCCTTCTCGCACAATGGTGTGCGTGTGTGTGCGTGTATATATATATATATATATATATATATTAGTACTAAATTTAAAATCATATTTGATGTAAATAAATGGGATGGAAATAAATTAGATTTTGGACGACACAAATACAAACCAAGTATGAGATAGTGATAGATTATGATGAGGATGAATGCATGGTGAACTAAATTAAGTGATTGGAATATCACTGAAAGATACTATTAGGATGAATGTAATCAAACATAAAAGAAACATGTTGAGGGAATACTAATTTCAACTTTATGATGCTTTTATGATGAGAAATTCCAGTGGATTAGTGAGAATATGATCCTTCCATATAATATACTTTGTGACATGTGAGACTGAGAGATTAGGAGAATGATGAGTAGAATTTTTATATTGTTCATGGATTCGGTCCATTTCCAAGATAAATCTTCATTTTTCATCAATTTTGATTGAAAATTGTGTGGCTAATGATGCCACTACTCTCTCTCTCTCTTGATTTCTTCTTTTTTATGATCAGTTTGAATCTTATCATGTATGAATTAATGAACATAATCTTCCATCCATGACCATGGATTTGGCTGAGAGAGAGAGAGAGAGAGAGAGAGAGAGAGAGAGAGAGAGAGAGAGAGAGGGAGAGAGAGAGAGGTGTTACCAACTCCTGTTCCACCTCCATATCAATCATGTCTACCCTTCACGAAAGGGAAGGCGAGCAACGACAATCCCCCAAACACCTCCCTCTCTCACATTCCTTCTTCCTGCGAGGTGAGGTGATGTTGTGCCAACCACTTGCCCCATTCCTTGCACCTTCTCGCCGGCATGGAGCTCCCACAGACAGTCCAAAGAACAGGCTGTGGATCATGTTCGTAGCCTTTTGGGATAGGAAGCCTGCACACATACTCTCTCTCTCTCTCTCTCTCTCTTCTCTCTCTCTCTCCT